ATATCTATACAATGACAACTTTAATATTCAAATTTGTTTAACCCTCATGTTCCCACACTAATATTAACACATCTATATTTAGCAGCCTGTCTACCCATCACACGTCTGCTCTGAGGTTACCATGTGAAATATATTCAATTGAAGTGTACATGCAGCAAAGAAAACTTCTTTAATCCTACAAATGATTACTTCTGTCATGTCGCTAATTCCATTTAATCAAGTTAGTTTCTTAGTTTTTTTCTTTGTTATTTCACTCACAGCTGTGTCAACAGTATTTATTTCCATTTCAACATCTGCAACTTCTTTCCGCAATGCGCCGTTTCTCTTTCCTTCTGTCTCTCCTGTCATTTCTCGTTCCTCAAACTACTCCCCTCTCAGTGTCTTTCTTGACTCCATTATTTCTCCATATATCCATCTCTCCACTGCCCTTTTCTGCAGATGTGCCAGAATCTGGTTTGTTTTCCCTGGCAGCTGACTGCTCTCCCTGATCATTTCCCTTTTTTACCGACCATCGTATTGGCTGATTTTGGCTTCATCAAGTGCATGTGCCTCTGTCGGCTGTGCCCTTCATCTCTGCATCCTCCTCTCTTCCCCACTGACTCTTCCTCTCGTCTTTCCTTACGCTGCCTTTCCCTTCCCTCCTTTTTTACCCCTTTCGCTCTCTCAATCAGCAGAAGTGGGACCGTCACACACACACACGCGCTATTGCAAGATAGTGTAAAGACAGAGCGAGCACACGGTAAGTCTCTCTCACACACGTACGCAAACCAGATGATATGTCTACTCTTGCAGAATGACAGCTGCCGAAAACTGAACTGTCTCTCACACACTTTCTTTGTACAATATCAATTCCCACCACGTCTGCATCCATGTGTGAGCTGGCTGTGTGCGCCAATGTGTGTGTACGTATGTGTGTATGAGAGAGACGGAGAGGGGTGGAGAAAGAGAAGATTGTAAGTTTTCATTGGCTGTAATATTGCGGCGTGTAATGTCGCGTAGCACGCAGCCAGCCAATCAGAAGGTCCTCACACACTCCGTTTTATGAATGAGATGTATGCAGGGTACACACACACACACACTCAGAGTGAGAATACTCTACAGTGATGTAATACAATCACACAGAGTAGCAGAAGTGCATGAAAGACAAACGCAGTATGATCACAGTCACAGTTAAATGCTGTTTCTGCCTAAATTGAAATACTCTCAATAAGGAATAACATATCTAATTTGCAGAATTGTAAAACGTAAAGAAAATCTTTGACTGCAAATTTCACACTTCATGCAAACACACCTAAATTAAATCTACGACTATGCTATAGGTTTCTTCAGCATTAAAAACAATCATTTTGTGGGGAAACTATGTAAAAGATTCTGTTTTAAAGCTGGGGTTGAATTTCATATCAATCAAAAAAATTAATTAGAGCTGGTATTGTCCCCTAAAACACAGTAAAATTACACTGTAGGTGACAACTCCAGCATGCTCTGTCCCAAGCAACACCTGTAATACCTGCTGAACAATTAAGTCCTTGTATCATTTTATCAAAACAGACTCACACCCTTATTCTGAATCCAGTATCCTCAAACCGTCTGTGTCTTTACCAGGAACTGAGAACACCTCATTTGGCTGACACTGTGTACCAGGGAGTCATTTTGCCTAACCGGTATGTAAAATCATAACTGAATAGCTGTGTTTGCGGCTGGCTGACAGAGAGGAGCTTGGGAGGGGAGGGGAGCAGCCAAAAACAATCAAAATATCCTGGTGTGACTTTCCATGAAGGGTGTGTGTGTGTGTGTTTGAGTGTGTGCACACGGGCTCGTCTTTCTATGCAGTCACTATTTGACACATGGCTCTGCTACACAAATGTAGTTCATTTGTGTCCATGTACAATCATGGGTACACAGTGCCCTCTTTGGTTGTACACAGGAATAGCAGCAGCTCATAACAAGGCAGGCGCAGCAAGTACAGGCACAAAAACAAGTGTGGAGACAATGAAAGCTGAAGAGAGAAATGACACAGGTTGTTGCTTCACTGTAAAACAGGTAGAACAAGACAAGAAGTGAGACTTCTCTTTACATGGTTCACATTTACTCGATATTTTTTATATTTTATATGACTTCATAAATGAACTGGAGGCTTATTTATCAACTAGCCAGAGGATATCTTCCATTTGAATTCAAATATTGGTGAACAATGCCAAAATAAAGCAGCACCTGAGATTCAGCATTTGATGGAAGTAACAAATAAGTACCCATGTCCTACATGCTGTATAAGAAAGAGTCAAGACCCTCTCTAAAAGAAGATTGATGAGTTCAGCCTTAATTAACAACGCCCTTCTACAGAATATTCGGTTCTAAAAGTTTCAACTTTAAAAAGTATAAACAAGAACAGAGGAATGACCTCATCCTGATACTGCAGAGATGCATCTGTTCAACAAAAACCTCCACCCATGAGCCAAGGCTGCCACCTAGAGGCCAACGCAAGAACTGCTACTACATCTCACACCAGGTGATGTCATGGTTTGAGAAAGAGTTAGGGATGGGGGGAGTGGAGACGGGTGAAAGAGAGAAACAGGCAGGGAAGGAGTGAGGGGGGAGAGAGGGTGATGTCATGTTTTCAGAGGCAGTGGAAGCTCCGTCTTTGTCCAAACTTCGGTCTGCAGAGCGACAGATGCTACGGAGGCATCGCTCTGATATATTCATACAATATCATTTTCTTTTTCTTTTAACAAGACATAACATTACTCAAAATCCTCATTTTCAATCTGGCCAACGACTAGACACCACATCCTTCAGGAACCCATTTCAGTCCTTGTCATTCCAGACTATTCATGTCTCTTCACTGCACTCCAAACAATTTCATGCCATTCTAGAAATTGCATTGCATTCATACCATTCAAAACAATCACCACCTGCTCTGAGTGTAATCTCCCCTGATTCTGGCCATGACGAGCAATTTTTCCTTCCAACAATCTTGCAGTGAAAAACATACTCACACCGATAGAAGGAGCGGGGATGAAGGGGTAGGGGAGAAGAATAAATGAAAAGGGATGCGGAAAAAAAGAAGAAGCAAACAAGCGGAGAAGACAGGCATGAGGAAGAGAAAGGATGAAGGTCAAAAAGGATGAAGGCGTCAGAGAGACTGAGTGTAGGAGAGTATCAGATCAACACATCTACATTGTGAGGTAAAAATCATACTAAAAGAAAATGTAAGCAATCAAAACTGAGCTAGTTCAACTGTGACCCACTTTCTTTAGACCCTGCTATTCTGTTTTACTGTCTATCTTACAGGTATAGTGGTGTTTAATGTGGAAGAATGATGGCTGTCAAACCTGACATTCATTTCTTATTGAATTGTATAATTTTATGCATTGTAAGATGGATGGTGGGAGAGGTTAAATCTTTTATGGCTGCAGATATTCAGGTACAGAAATCGAATTAAATTAAAGAGCGACAGTAAATGTTTCTCAACACTTTCTGGAACCGGGATCTTTGTGTGGTCAGTGGATGGTTCAACTTTAAAGTGAAGAGAATGAGACAGAGACAAACCTTTACAAATATTTTAAATATCGGTATCCATAACAGTGTTTTAACCTGAGATATTTTTAATAAACCATTTTGTCTTTATTTGCTGAGGGAATCAACCCAATACGTCTATTTCCCACATAGAAATCCAGCAGAAAACAACTCCATCATGACCAACAGCTGCTTTTCACCACACTCACTCACTTCCTGAAAGACAACTGCCACCAAAACTACAGACTTAAATTAGATCTGCGACAAGACGAGTGGTGCACCAAACATCAAGCCTTAGCAGATGCTTTTACACAGGATCTGCTATCAAAAGGGAGGGAGACAACAAAGTGAAGAGAGGCAGGGAGGGAGAGAGACAGGTTGTTTCAGAACGGAGCTCGAGGGACAGGAGAACAACTGTGAAAACAAAGAAAGGTGGAAAGATACAGTGATCAAGGGTGTAAACTACCAGATAAGAGGGAAAACTGTAGGCCTCTGTTTTTGAAGGAACTGTGCCATATGTGTGTTTATGAGTACATCAGCATTTTTGAAATGTGTGATTAATGTCTTTCCATGGCAGAGGAGACCCCATGGTGAGAGAAATGCCCCAAGAGTTGATATACACTCTTCTTCTTTCTCTGGAAAACTTGTAGCCTGACACCAGTCAACTCTCTGATGTATTACAGCCCAACGATGCAATATAGTATTTCCATGGTATCTGTAACACTACTACTCCTACCACTTAATACTACTGCTGCTAATAATCAGCATCATCACCATCAGCATTATCAGAATCATTATAGACAAAACCTAAATCAAAATATTCAAACATGCTCCAGCAGCATCAGAGAGAAACATCAGGATTTCTGCCAACAACATAAATAATACTCGTCAGTCTAAATATATGTGGACATCATTTGTTACTGGCAAGTATATTACGAATGTTATCTTTTATCATAGATTATGAAAGCCAAAATATAACTGGCCCCATTTCACCTAATGTGGACATTGCCAGTAAATAATTTAAAAAACTTTACCAACCATTTTGGAAAATAGTAGGCGGGCTCAAATTTAAGTCAAATTCCATTAAACATGAAAAATAAGCTGTCATGGATGTTAGTCAGTGTTTTCAGAGAAAACACCAGATAAGGCTGGTTCTCAGATGAATGGTTGAATGACTGAGAACATCAAGCCTCATTTGCAGGGGGACAAACATTTGAGGTTTGGACTCGAAAACTTGGTCCAAAATCTATTCTGAACAAACACATTTGCTTGGTTGAGTTTGTTGATGGTAGTAAAGCCTGGGAAACTCAACTCAGGACAGAATTCAAGCTTACTGACAAAGCAAGAGTGCCCCTCTGTGGTTAGAAATAGTAATGACATCAGTTGTACACAATAAGAAAATTAAAATCTTTTTTTAAGTAAATAAGAATAACAGCAGTGTGATTTTTAGTTTTATTTATAACCCACCACAATTAAACAAAACTTACCAGTCATCTTGTATCCACTAGCAGCCAGCTGTCCAGCCATGTACTCTCCATCTGAGCTGTTGTGACTGCAGCCCCATGTTTTCATCCAGATCTTCTGTGTCCCAGGGATTAAACTAAAAAGGAAATGGGTCTTTGTTATATGAAGTGCAGAAATGATAAAAGCAATTTAAAAAAACATATAAAAAGGTCAAATGATGGGGATTGTCATTGTTCATCTATTTGTATTATTAAATACAGAGGGAGAGACGATGCCTTACATCAAACTTAATTCTAATCTTATCAGAAGCCATCTACCAAATTCTGGTGCAGATTAAACAACCAGACCATGACCACTTGGGTCTGGGCCTGCTCCCGAACAGTCACTGCTCTGGTTCTTTGGTGTGTGACAGTAAAGCAGACAAAACAAAGGACTTGTGATATGATAATAACAGCTATTACAATATCAAGCAGTTGACTGACCTGTCAGCTTGGAGCTCCTCATTGTTCAGGAGCTCTTTTCTCTTCCTGGACCTTGGTATAATGCTCTTTCTTGCAGTTAGTCTCTCTTGAGGAGTGGGGTCACTAGAAGACACCATGTCTTCAATGTCTTCAATCAGAGTGTCACAGGTGGACGGCATGATGCTCTGAAAATCAGACACAGCTTCATTATTCTAATCTCCTGTGAAGTTGGTTAAGATTAAAACAAAAAGATACTTCTTTGTGGTTATTACATAAAGTCATGTTGTAAAATACTTTAATAACACTGGAGCAATAACTAATTACCTGTTAAAATCTCTAAAGTGCATTGATTATCATTTATTTTATATTAAAAATAAGATAGTGTGAGTTTATAACATTAGTGAAGACAGATGTGATTCTTGAAAAGCTTGCTTACCAACATTAGATTAAATGACAATAACACTGTAAGTGAAACCAATAATTTATTAATCAAACTTCTTGTAAATGTAAGGCAGGGAAACCACAGTAAAGGTGGAATACAATAACTAATATTTCTTAGTGATTAGTCTGAAAATTACTATCTCGATTGAATCATGTTTCAATATGTTCTGTTGACCACAGCGTTTTCCTTTAAGTTCAAGTATTAACAAAAGTCAAGCTTCAGTGAACTTTTGAATAAACACGTGAACAGCTCTTTGTCCAGCAGCAGGTCTTCACTTGCAGCAGCTCAGTGAGCGCAGGTCACTTTTACAGTTTCTTAAAGAAAAGTGCCACCAGCATCGCCACAGGCAAATCAAACAGCCAGTTCCAAACAGGCAGGTTAAGAACAGGCCCCTGCATCAGTTCAACTCTCAGGTTCGTCAATGAAGCGTTTGAATCTGCAGACTGACAGTGAGAGAGTGTGGTGTCTGAAATGCTATGTGTAGTCCTCCCCATAAAAGAAATTTATCTTTAGGTTTGATGTTCACAGGTCTTGAGGAATTTGGAGAAAGCCTGAACGTATGGTAGGGTGTTAGGTCACAGTTCTAAGTGCAACACTAAATTTGGGCTAGTGTCGTCTCCCTTCTTGTCACTGGACAACCGTGAAGAGCTGGATAAGAAACCAGATGTGTTTTCTTTAGGTTTACACAAACAACCCTCCTATATAAACGAGGAGATGAAGTTGCCTCAACAGAAGAGATTCACATTGGCCCCGAATCTCTCTCCAGGCAGCAGAAGAGATTCACATTGGCCCCGAATCTCTCTCCAGGCAGCAGAGAAGATTCACATTGGCCCCGAATCTCTCTCCAGGCAGCAGAGAAGATTCACATTGGCCCCGAATCTCTCTCCAGGCAGGAGAGATGCACATTGACTCCGGATCTCTCCATATGCAGATTGCATTGCTTGTATTGATGCTGAACTTTTTTGTAATAAACCTTTATATACAATCAAGACGGTGTCATCGGAGATTCCTTCATCATCTTCACATCATCGCAACCCCAATATACGACAAGAGCAGCCGTCTCATGAATGGGTCCAGTGCAGGTTGGACGCAGGTCTGACTGTGGTATTAGTAACCATGAGCTCTAAATATCTGCTGGGGATGGTGATGCGAACAAAACAGAGTTAACTAGTCATCTAACTTGTCACCATAAATAATCTTTAACTCATCTTATAGTTCACCTGACACTCACTGTATTCTGTACTGTGTGTAGATATATCATATATTGAATTACTGTGCTGAACCACCGACAAGAAATCAAAGCAGTGATTAGTTGAAGCCATAAACCATTAAATATATGTCAAACATCCCAATTACGTTTGTATGCATTTACATTTACTCTAAGAATTGAGTTAACATTAGGAAAACTAAGGCACTGAAACGTCGTCACTTATTTACTATGTTCGTCGTTTAAACCTTTTTTAGAAGGAACTCCTAAAATATAAACTCCTAGCTCACCTGCTGCTGAAGCCATTAGCTACACGTGAAGCTAATATCACAATTACAGGTGATTGTTAATTCTGACTGTTAATTCTGATACAAGCTGAAGTTAACCAGAGGACATGTTAACTACCCTGCTCATGTTTCCAATGTTTACACCCGATGTTCACCGATAAACTAGCTGAACACACACGCTACGTGATTTACGTGAGCTGCCGCTGACCGACACCAGCTCGAAACGTGTGTTCCTGTTTATGTTCACGGTTCTTTGACAGACTGGAGTTTGATTGTGATGGCTAACGTGTCCGAGCTACCTGTTAGCATGGCTAGCCTCACTAGCTAGCTACTACCCACGTGCACTTCAATTTGAGGAGAAGGACTGGTTCAGGCGCTGTTAAAGTTTCTTACCTCGGGTGTAATGTGGTTCTTGGTTCAGATAAATCGGATTCCTGAGGTTGGTGTGGTGTAGAAATGAGAACAGTATCTTCTTTACGCCATCAAAACATTGTCACAACTCTCACACCGCCATACTTGAGCGTAGGGACGGTGGGAAGGGAGGGACAAATTAGTCGCGTTTGAATTTCGCTCGTGTGGGAGCGTGATCATGTTTTATTTTGCCCATTTAATTTGAAGGATATATGAAGCAATATATATATTATATATAATATTATTCTCCTGAGAAGCACGAAGTTTGTAGAAGAAGGTGATATTATCATTATAATACAAAAAAACTAAATACATAGATATATACATAAATGTGGTATGGATTAAAAATATGGATATACAAGTTATATTGTGATTTCTTTCCTCTGTATAGACTTCCTACAAAGCAAATTGCTAAATAAAGGCAAATCTTAAACAAAATATAAATTCCTTATTTATATTCTTTATTCAAATTTTCAATTACAAACGCCCAGAGTACAAAAACGAATCCATTTCACCCCCCCCTCCCCAAAACAAATACAACTCATATTCCTCATTTAAACAGATGTTAAAGAAACAGTTTATATAACTGAACAACACACATCAAAAACATCAAATTAGTTTAACATTCAACTGCACAGATACTTTCACCCATGCCTTCAAATTGCAAACAGAAAATGTAATGCGATATTACAGCTCTTTTTTTTTTCCTCCTAATTAGTGGAAACAGGCATCGATATTATAATTTTACAGTCAATTCTTTCCCAGCAAACAGTTAACTTTTCACATAACCATTACAGAATATTCATGGATCAGTCTATTGTATTTGGTAACAGCTTAAGAATAGCAGGAACAACAATGCTGTTTCAATCTCGACTATAGTTGACCGATTAGCCTAACGATAACTTTCTGCAAGGTCTAATCACACATCAGAATCGCATATTAGAAATTTCATTTTAAGAGTCACCCATAACACATTTAATGAGCAGTGCATTACAATCTTTTAACATTCCATTAGAAACCAGTGGAAAGGTACAATCTCCCAATACCAAAGTTCACGTTTCCATCACATAAAAGTGGATAAAATATTATGACCAGATTCTGGTCGATTGTAATTGATGGAGGAAAATGTCATTCCTAATGAAAAGGGACTGAGAAAATAGCAACAAATATGGTTAGTGAACCAAACTGGGGAAACAAATTAGATTTTTCCATAAATACATATAAAATACATATATAAATATGCCTATAGGAAAATGTTTTGTGAAACACAGCATTTCTGTGCGTTTAAGTCAGATTTCAGTCATGTATGATAGTGGCACAGACTTCACAGAGTTCTGCTGACTAGGAAGCCATGTTTTCTCCTCAAATGCATGGATAAGGTTCAGGTTAACTAGTAGAATAGAAACTGTTTCTTTTGACAGGCTTCAAAACTTTGAAAGTGAAAATGGCATAAAAGCTCCCAGAAGAGGAAAAGTACGTCAGACTCCCTCACATCATCCGGAAAGAAAATAGGACACACGGTGTCACAGAGGCAAAGCTCCCTTCACACGTCAGCAGAGGGCGACCAGGTAACCAATCCTGGTTCAGTGGTGTGTACAGACACACAGGCAACATCTCTTAAAGGGAAGGCTAACTTTGAAGAAATACCTGCATTATTGAATGTGTTAATCGTATCCATTAGGTCAATGAGATGACAAAAAAAGCTTATGGAAAAGATCCAAATAAACAAAACCAAAAGAAATATTGCAATACATTTTTCCACTTAACCATTTATCAAATGTGCATCCCAGTTTTCAAATTTAAGATGTAACAGCAAGAGGCTGTTTTAAGAGCAAAGGCATTCTCATTACTACATCAGGGCATGAGTGGAATCTTGCACACATCAAAAGACAAAAGTGCGACGTAATATCCAATATCAGAAAATCAAAATGTCGTTTATATGACAAAGGGGGAATTCAAACACTCCAACACTCTATGGCATTTACCTCTACGCCCTATTACTATAGTCAAACATTAAGTGAGAGGTAGCCTACAGTACCTTGTGCACTGAAAAATTTAGAAAACTGTACATCAATTTACACATGGCAGGCTTACTCTTTAGCAAGCTCGATTCTTTAGACGTTGACTCACACATGCTGCATACGCAAAGTACTCAAACGCACATCAATCAGGTCGGGGGGGAGTTAGCACTAACAGCAGCGATAGGTCCTGCGGCTAAAAGCCAAGGGTTTCACACAAGATGTTTGTTTCCTGTTATAATCAGGGATGGTGTCAAACGCAAGAAGCTTTTAGACGAAAAAAAAATATCACACCCTTTCAGTTCTTACTTCACCAAGTCCCCAATATATTACCAAGACTTCGTTGCACTGAATTTGTTATGGTGAGCCCTTCAATCAAGCCTCATTTAGTGGCAGTTTCTTAGGTGACCATGATATAATTAGATATTTCTACAGTATTAAAAGCCATTAAAATTCAACACTTACTAAACCTAAAAAGACTAACACTCACCTTTCCTCATTCCTACACTGCTTTCAATCCACACCGAGTCGGCAGCGTGTGCATCAAGTGGTTCAGTCAAATGTTTGTGATATGCTCAAACCACAGTATATTTTCACAGCACAGTCTTACTGAGGAGGCTTTATGGGAAGTTTTTGTTATGGCAGCTTCTGCTGATGACTACGGCAGGAATGTGTGAAAAGAAAAAGGGAGTTTCAGTCCTGAATTCACAAATAGGGATAAGGATGGACGACTTAAGAATGATTTTCAAGAATGTACATCAGGTGTTTTTGTTTAATCCACAAAGATGGAGGGCTTTTCTGGCCTCTGTTATGTAAGGTTAGACATCACTTTGTTCCACGTTTGCATTTGTTATTGCAGGATGGCCAATCGATCAGCAGATGTCAGGCTGATCAGGTTAACAGGTAAAAAATAAAAGACTGCATGCTTGTCTTCATTAAGAGCATTTAGATTGCTCCATTGCTTTTTTACAGTTTGATTTGAAAATTTACTTGGGGCACACCAAAAACAGTCCCTCATGCCTCTCTAAATAGTGCTTAAATGTTCATAGGCTTTATAACTATCCTGACAAGTGTCGGACACAAGGTGACCAAAGCCTAACCATGCCTTACCCAAAGGTAAATTAATAACTGTATCATGGATGATTTGCACCAAAATTGTCCCATTTTCCATTTCATATTTATTTTAACCTCTAAAATGCTCTACATTTGAACAATGAAAAATGCCTATTAAACAGCCAACAGTATGAGCAGTCAATCACAGATCATTAAGATTTCTTTAGCCTCTCTCCTGCCCCAAAACACCTGACATTAACACATTTTAAATTTGTGGTTACGTCTCAGGATGGATTACCTGGAAGAACTTGGAAAACGGACAAAAAATGCATCACTGGGAACTAACAGATCAACCTACTTTCTCGTTGCCAAAACACAGATTTACAAGCCTGACAAATCCTCAGATGCAGCATCCTTTAACAGTAAACACAGTTTTTATCTTCCCTGCTCTTGAGAGGGTTTTACCCATGGTTCAGAGTGTTTAACCGATGGTAAATGCACCTCAGGGGCATTGATGCTAAACCCATTCAGAGAGTGTGTGTTAATGCCAGGTAATGTGGGGGTATATTTTTTAACTTCTCTCGGTACAGTGACGTGAACCTCAACAAAGCGAGGTGGAAATCCTTCCCCTCGCTGTTTATGCTTAACCGAACAGAAAAGGCTTTCAGATGTCCACCAATGCTCGGCTACACTGGAGGCCTCACATAGCCTGAGACAAGGATTAGTGGATATGTCTGCACACTGACCAGTCATGTCTTTGTGTGAAATCATTCAAGGCTGTTCATCTCACACACCATAAGAGAACATGGCATTTCGTCCCAGCGGGACTGAAAAAGGCGCTCATCGTTTCCTCTCCATTTATTTAAAATTGGCTTCCTCTAACTACACAGTCAGTCACAGGCATCAAAACCCTCACTTTTCTCCACCTCACTAGCATGCGCTTCATCTGAATTACTGTTAGCTAATGCTAGCTGCACAGGAGGTCATCCAGGCAGGAGGGAATTTTATCAAAGTCATAGGCTTCGAACAAATCACTAATCCCCTGGTCGTCTCCCAAACCTAAAAGGTAGTCCTCTTGGTCCAGAAGAGGAGGCCCGAGATTCAAGAAAGGCCCCAAGGAAGCAGGGATCTGGTCTTCTGTCTGCTGGAGGAGACTGGTGTAAGGGGACGAAATGGGGGAGAGAGTCGTCACGGAGACTGCTGTGGTGGAGGAAGGTGGAACCAGGGAGTTGCCGGGGGAATTGGCCGTGCAGTTGGGATCTGTGAGATGAAATGGAGTCAACTGGTTATTATCTTTGCCTGGCCATGAGATCGGATGTGTCATAGTGCTTGTTGCACTGAAAACCAAACACGAAATTAGATTTCTGGGTCTAAGAAAATTAATCAATTCTCTTTTATAGCCACAGTACTGGTAGTTTAGTCTGTCAGTAAGTGTATTCAGATGAGACGGCACCTAAAGGCTTTGTCAATACCCAGATTCCTCATCTAGCACTACCACCAGTAAAAGAATCCCCTTGTCCAAAGTGGTATATTGCCAATATGTCAAGTCACAATAATCATTAACTAATGAACAAACTCACACTGGTCTCAACTGCACTTTAAGCTCAATGTTAATGTCACACCCATGAGTTAAAATCATGCCTTAAAGGATCCTGTGCTAAGCAACACAGAAAACACTAATCAGAAAGAGAGTGAAACATAAACACTGCTGGAAATGCTGCAGGAATGCTACAGAAAAATGTCACCTACTATCCTTGATTATAAATAAATAAAATTGTCGATAATTAACATATACAACTGACCCTTGACTACATTGTGGCAGATGAAGTTAAGTCTAACAAACCTCAACTTGTAAAACACAGCTACCTGCCTATGTTGATCTAAAACCAACCTTGAAGGACTTTGAGAAAAGGAGAGTTCCCGTTTATGTCTGTGTTTCCATTTTTTACAGGACTCCTGGGGTCATTCTCCTCATCTGGACACAACAGGACTTCAATAGGACCTTTGGTGCTGGTCAGATGGACGGACAAACTCTGGAAAGGAAAAATGATGTAGATCGTAGTTAGAAAACTGAC